CTATATGCATTGTCCGTTAATGACGAAGCATCCCGTCATGTATTCATATATCTGCACTCTGCAGTTAGTGTATTTGTAGGTGTTGAGCTTCATGTAACATTTTATTTCACTTGTCAAATGTTGCAGTGTTATGTGAATATGAGGTGTTTACACGAAACAATTAATAACCGTAGCTGTGGCGTCATCATGAGGTTATTAGGAGGAGGTTCAACTGTAGTAGGACAGCACTGAAGGCCCAGCTATAAAACACACGGCCCAACAACACGGACTGGATCATGGTGTATAGTGTGTACGCGTAAAGATACTATACTATATACTATATACTGTATATACAGTGTATAGCGATGGTACCACCTCCGCCTCATTGTGAGCCAGGAAACACCCTGCACACTTACGACAGTGTTATATTGCAAACTATCATCATGTCACACACACACAGGCCCACCTGTCGTATCTGTTTGAAGGCCTCAGGGTCAAAGGTGGAGAAGATGTTGCAGTCGGGCTGTGAGAAGATCTGGAAGGCCACAGCACAGTGGTGGTTCTCCAGAGGGGAGATGTCGTTGTAGCGAACTGCCAGATCTGTTTTGGCGTTGATCTGGTACCTGGAAGAGAGAGAGAGAAGGACCGAGAGAGAGAGAGAGAGAGAGGTAGAACAAGAAAGATGCAAAGAAAACAGTAACAAAGCGTAAGAAGAGATGGCAGAGAGGAGAATGCAGAGAGTGTGTGTGTGTGTGGTTGTGTGTGTGAGTGTGCGTGTGCGTGTCTGTGTGCGCGTGTCTCTTACGTGTTGTTGAATCCGGGGTGATCGAGATCATGACACACAGCAGCTGTCATGAGAATCAATAGGTCGACCTGAGTGAACTTCTCCTAAAACATGACACACAGAAGTCCAGACATCCACGCATTTATATTAATGAAAGCATCAATTGAGTCCTTAACCAAAAGAATGTGTCCATATGTGTGCTAATGTGAGTGTGATCCCATCTTCCACCCTCACAATTGTCATGATGCGTTATGAGTGTGTGTGTGACCTTGCTAGCTTGGTGCACATGCTTGATAATCAGTCATTAGGCCTGTGATGAGTAAACCTCCAGTGAATATTCATCTCTAACAACAGAGGGAGACTCTGAGAAGAAGATCCTCGATTCCTTTTTTCTTTCTCTTTTTTGTTCACACATGCATCTCCTCTTCATCACACCCATCCTCATCCTCTCATTCTTTCCCCTGAGCTTTCCAGATCCAATGACGTCTCCACCTTTCCCATGACAACTGCAGCATGACTCTATGTTTGCAATACAGTGGCGTATCTCATAAAGAGACCATTCTGCAGGTTTACGTATGTAGTCGAGACTTCAGGGATAGTCCAATCTCAAATTACACTTTATCTGCTCTAGAAGCCTCCGTACACATTCTGGTCAGCAGAAATGAAAGTAGCGTGACAGTGTTAAGTATTGCCCCAGCAGGGAACACCATTGTCTAAATGTATTTCCACAGTACATAAGCACAGCTCAAATTAAGAACCAAATATCGAGTTCAAATTCAATTCATGTATCTTATTAAATGAATTTATTTTTCCAAAGAGGATAGCGTTGGTTGTGAATATCGTTTCGAAGACCACAAGGATTATCCTAATAGAAAGCTATGACTCACACACAGATGTTTTATTTCTATTTAAATATATTGGAATCTTACAGGATATAATGAGTTATTTATTTGTTGTTGTTTTACAGCTGCCCCTTAAGGGTTCATTCAAACTAACAGGTAGAGCTGCTAAAAGAATACTTACATTTTTGGAAAATTGCTTTTCCACATTGTGGTTTTATGGAGGCATTTTCCCTGTTTCCAAGCTTTATGCTAAGCTAAGCTAAACTAAACTAAGCGAAGCTTTGCAAATTAGTTGATGTTGATGGATCTTCTTATCTAACGTTTGTTAAGAAAGTGAACAAGTGTCTTTTTCAAATGTTGAACTCCTCTTTTCAAGGGCTGCTCCAGTGGTTAAGTATAACTTTTTCATGACACACTTTATATGATGACACCATGATGATGAAGAAGTGGTGTAGTCTGAGGTCTCCGCTCTTCATCAGCAATGTACAAGTCAAGATGCTGACAATGAAATGCCATGACATTTAAACATTTCAACATTTTGACATTTGAATGCTTTTTACATAACTAGGACCAACGTATGGGCCGGAAAGAACGCAGGGCCTGTCATTGCTATTTGTTATTTTTCCCAGATTTGACATACTAGGTCAAAACCTGAACCTTTGCTTTCAAGTCTCAAGTCATCAAGTCTATATTATCTCTCACAACAGTCACGTGTGTAAGAAGCTGGTTACCTGCAGGCTGCAGAGGCAGATCATGCTGTACATCATCTGGGTGACGCAGAAACAGTGGCGGAAGTTATGGAAGGGGTTATTCTTGTAGTTGTCATGAATACAAAGCTACACAGAGACAGACAGGGAGAGAGAGAGAGAGACGGGAGGTTTGAGATATTTCAGCTTGAAAGTTCCATTCAATGGAGGTCGTATCTTGGTTTCTATTCAGATGTGCAGATGGTACTGGGTCCAGGTCTCACCAGCCATCTCTTGAGTGTGATGGGGTTGATGTTAAACTCTTTGACCAAGCCCAGGTCATGATACATATGTTCCAGACAGCTCAGCATCTGGGAGAACAAAGGAACGTGTAATTGATATGTCTGTATACATTGACAGATGGAGATATGCTGAGATAAGGGTTTTAGTTTTGAGGACTTTTTGATGTGAAATATTATTGAATGTCAAAATAAAATATCCATTTATCTAATCTTAAATAGCAGTATTTTTTGTGAGTTTTAATTTATTTTTATTTTTGAGTGGTCTTAGCCAAACTACTGAATCTGAGTGGCCTGGCTCAACTGTGGTTGAATCCGTGTGTCCACTTGACCTAAATCAACCCTATGGACCAGCCTCTACCTGCTGCAGCTAAGTAGCACAGAGTCTGGGGCGACTGACTTCTTTAGAAGGTAGAGCGGGTCAGGCCTCAGAAGATCGGCGGTTCGATCCCCTGCTCCTCTTGTCCATGTCGATGTGTCCTTGGGCAAGACACTTCACCCCAAATTGATTGATAGGTGTGAATGTTAGAGAGTCCTGATGGGCAGGTGGCACCTTGCATAGTAGCCCTGTCATCAGTGTGTGAATGACATGTAGTGTTAAAGCGCTTTGAGTAGTCGGAAGACTAGACAAGCGCTTTACAAGTACAGTCCTTTACCATTTTCTGAACCACCCGTATTCTTGCTACTTAGCTGCAGCAGGTCGAGGGTGGTTCATAGGGTTGATTTAGGTCAAGTGGACACACAGATTCAGCCATTCACACCCATTCATACACTGATGACACGGGCTACCATGCAATGTGCCACCTGCTCATCTGGACTAACCAACCATACACACCCATTCACACAGGATCACACAGGATCAGTCTATGGGAGCAATTTGGGGTTAAGTGCCCAAGGACACATGGACATGGACTAGAGGAGCCGGGGGTCTAATAATTATCAGATATTAACTTGTCCGTGACAAAAAAATGAATCAGTGGATTAATCAGGGCACAAGTCTCACCTCATTAGACTCCCACTGCCAAGCATCGAATGTAGGCAATCTAAGAGCTTCTACTGTCTCCTTAGACAGATGGTACTACACACACACACACACACACACACACACACACACACACACACATAGGGCAGCAGAAGAGACAGGGAAACAGGGGGCACAAGGAGAGGAGAGAAGAGAGGGGCATTGTAGGTGAAACGGGTTCATGAGCTGCTCAGTCTTACCTCGTTGGCCTCCCATAGCCAGACGTCGAAGGCGGGTTTTTTGAGGGCATCTATGGTCTGTTCTGACAGCATGTACTGCAGGCAACAGAGCTCGCAGTTAACCCTGTCTGCCTCCGACTGGCTCGGGGCCACACCTCTTCACACACCTACTGTAATGTTCATGTATATAACCTAATACATCACCATATTTTCATTCATTCTTCTATTTTATCCCACCAAAAATGGACATTAGTTACAAATATCACCAGCAGCCACATTGAAGGGACCACAGCTGTCAAAAGCTGAGTGTGTTTCTAAAGTACAACTTGTCCCTTTGTGCAAACTTTTCCTGGATTCACTGGTGTATTCTCTGAGAGTGTTTCAGAGTAGAGATGAGATGACAATTATCTCACAGTGACCTATAGGGTGATGAAATGAGACAGCTTTCTGTCACTTCTGGTTTCCTTGTGTCGAGGTCAATGTTTCTTTGAATGTGTTTTATGTTAGTGTTCTGAAAACAGGTCTGCGGTTAACACAAGATTAAGGGATTTTAACAATTTTTAACAAAAAGGAATAAAATGTGTCGGTAATTGTGAATTTTGAAGCTTTAACTTGTCATTGCTAACAAATGGCTAAATGAGATTACTTAACGTCATCGTGCCGATTAGTCCGCCTTATAGCCTTGTGTATACTCGCGCTCATGCAGTCATGGTGTAGTTCCTTTATAGCCTAACGTTAGCTTGTTACTTCTGGTGATGGCATTCATGCTTCAGAAAGGTGTTCGTTTGTGAAGATTATTATGCTGAACAAAAAGTGTAAGTATCTTATTTTCTGCAGTAATCCAAAATCATCAAAATGCTCGATCATCTGCTTTGGCTTCAGGGTTCGTAATAGCGTCCAAATGGCAAATCCTATTGGCTTTTTGTCGAGAGAAGCCGTGCAAGGCTAACTTCAGGGTTGGCCTACGAAAATACATCATCCCTGCAGCCCTCTATTGACCTGGACTGTCTGATTCCTGGGAATTGGCACTAAACCTGATCAACATCTATAAAACTGGCCAACTACATTTTCACAACTGTTACATCTAAAGTACCCACAAGTTTGAAAACAAGCATTGGTTCTATCTGGTTCCTGGAATCATAGTGCAGGCGTGGTATTCCTTAGTATGCCTGACGTCAGCAGACTCACCTGGCTAACAGAAACACAGTGCAGTGAACAGTGGGGGGTAGAAGGCCTTACCTTTGGGTAAGAGGGCATGTCTCTGCGAGGGGTAAGCTTCTTATTGTCTTCGAGGAAGTTACTGAAAAAAAAACAACACCGTGAAGCTACGAAGAAATAAGAATACAAGTATTAATTCTACTACTTCTAAAATAATAATATTACGTTTATATGATATTTAATGGTAAATGGACCTGTACTTGTATGGTGCTTTTCTAGTCTTCCGACTACTCAAAGCGCTTTAACACTACATGTCATTCACCCATTCATACACTGATGACAGGGCTACCATGCAAGGTGCCACCTGCCCACCAGAACTATCGAACCATTCCCACCCATTCATACACTGCAGGCACAGCTAGCAGGAGAAATTTTGGGTTAAGTGTCTTGCCCAAGGACACATTGACATGAGCTAGAGGAGCCGGGGATCAAAATGCCGATCTTCTGAGGGCCGACCCACTGTTGACCCAGATTCTGTGCTACTTAGCTGCAGCAGGTAGAGGCTGGTTCATAGGGTTGATTTAGGTCAAGTGGACAAACGGATTCAACCACAGTTAAGCCAGGCCACTCAGATTCAGTAGTTTGGCTAAGACTATATGATATATAGAAGATCGTAAGTCAGAAAAACAACCTCCACCTCCATTGTTAAACTTTTATCAGTGAATCTCATCCAATGAAATGCCACCTTAATGTGGTGGAGGGGTTTGTGTGCCCAAGTGACCCTGGGAGCAGTGTTGTCTGGGGCAATAGCCCCTGGTAGGGTTTCCCAAGGTAAAGTAGTCCCAGCGTAGGGGCCTGACCAAGAGCGATTATGTCCCTATGTGAATAGGTTGTCCCACCTTGCCCGGAAGAGGGAAACCGGGGCACCCTTCTGGAGCCAGACCTGAAAGGGGAGGTCACCGGCAAGCATCTAGTTGCCAGGACTTGACACATGGGGCTCGGCCAGGCACAGAACCAGAAATCTACATTGAACCGCTGCCCTGTGGGGCATTGAGATAGGGTGCATGGTGGCAGGTAAAGGCGGAGACCTAAACGTGCTGACCCCTGGAGTTGCAGACCGGCTCTTGGGATGTGAAATATCAACTCTCTGGCTTGGAGGGAGCCGAAGCCGGTGTGAGAGATGGAGCATTACAAACTAGATATAGCTCCGCTCACCTCCATGCATAGAGGTCTGTGTTCTGTGCTTATGCACCCAGCAGCACTTCGTACTGCGGGAATATGGGATCCCAACATCATTGCTACAAGCCATTCGGTACTTGTATAACCAAAGTGAGAGATGTGTCCATATACTCGTCACAAAGTCATACATGTTACCAGTGGGCGCCCAGGTTTGGCCCTTGTCACCAATACCATTTTTCATTTTCATGGATAGGATTTCAAGGCGCAGCCAGGGGGAGAACGGTGTCTGGTTTTGGAACCGAAGAATTGCGTTGATTGCTCCCTCCGGGTTGCGAGTGAGTCACTGTCTCAAGCGAGGGAGTTCAAATATCTTGGGGTTTTGCTCACTAGTGAGGGTAAAATGGATGTGGATGATTGCCATAAGTTCGAGGTAATTTTATACTCAGAAGTCCAAATGTTTTTGCTTCATGCACCACTGAACAACTTTCATTGGAATGGTTAGGAAGCCGCCTCCAACGCTGCATCCAGTTCTCTTGATACATCCATATTTGGTAGCAATTGTTGAGCTTGCTAGTTAAAGAGGGCGTTAAAATGGCATTAAAGGTGAGAGGGTGGCTACCGCTTACAACATCATGAAAAGTGACAGTATGAAATAAAAGATGTCTTCATGAAAAGTCACTATGAAATTAAACTTGAAATGAAATAAGTGTCATTGGGGAAATAAATACAAATGTCTATAGTGAAATAAAATATAATTATTTTGAAAAAGTATGAGAAAATAACATATCACAATAATTTCTACAAATAATTTCTCAAATTAAATGTCATTAATATTTTTCACAGTTTATTCACACGATTAGGGTAGATTATCATAATATATGTATTTATTTAACATTAAACACTTTGGGTCACCAAAGTTTTGAATAACCTTTGCTAACAATTGACTTATCACAATAGTGGTTGATTCATCTTCTGAAGAGGGAAAGTTCATTGATCAGCTTATTGTCTCAGCATAACTAGTAGTCTGTGTATCACTGCACTAACACGAATGAAATACTAACTGCTCTGTATATCTGCATATAAAGTAAGGTAACAGTAAAGCAGATCTCCAGACACCACTTAGGTCTTAAATACCACTAATCAGGATGAGTTGTCTCTGACTGTCTATCACTCTGCTCATGAGACAGGAGCAAGACACTCTCTGTCCTAATGAAAGACCAGCGAGATTCAGAGATTATTGCCTCTGTTGTTGCTGTTACCTGTTGTTTCTGGATGCCATCTCCTCACGGAGCTTCTTGATGTCTTTGCGACATTTGTCGATCTCCACCACCTTCATCCCCTCCACTGTAGACAGAGAGAGGCATTTATTAAAACCCCACTAGTCCTATTAAAGTCAACATTTTTCAAACCATTACCTCTTGATACCATTTGTAACTGCAAACATATTAAGTTGGCCAAAGCATCTACGGGTCATTGAACTGATTGTATTTGTTGAATTGACCTCTTTTAGTGACTGAGGGGTTGGAGCAACATGGTCAGGTCTCTACTGGGGCTTACACTGGCCTACAACTCATTCATTATTTCATTCATTTTTTGTTTGTTTTTGGCATTCAATGTTCATTCGTTTTCTATGTCAATCAAGCAAAAAAAGCAACAGCTACACTTTTCCTCCAAGCAGTAACACTGAGCTTCACAGCAGCGCTTCAGAAACCTGTGGGTGACCTCACAGAGACTTTTATACAGACTTTGTTTTCCTTTCATCTCTGCAGACCCTCCCATGCATAGGATTAACAAATAAAAAGCAGGTCCTTAATAGTTCTTTTATGTCTGAATTCAGTGTTTTTTATCGTCTATCATAGCGTCATCCCCTCGTCTGCTCCTTTCCTGTTTGCGTGCAAGACCTCGTTGATCTATTGGGCAGTATATAACGGCCATCAAGCCCTGTGGATATTATACCCACGTCCATGCTTAACAAGGTGTTGGGTCTATTGGTCCATGCATGGTCTCTAATATAAATAACTCACTGAGATCTGGTTGTGCCCCATCATATCCATCCCTTCCCAAAAACTATGGCCTTATATCTAAGCTGCCTTTAATCTACAACATGTTTGAGAATGTTTAATGCTGATTTAACTTCACACATTTTAAATAAATTGATATCTGTTTTACATCAAAAGCACTCCACTTACAGCTATTCTTAGTCTCCAATGACATCTTCTGATGTGGGTGTATACTCTGTGATGTTGCTAGTGGATCTTAGCGCAGCATGTATTACTTGGAATCACACCATTGTGACTGAAGGGCTTAGGCAGTGGGTGGGTGTCTCTGGGAGCGCCCTGGCCTGGTTCTCCTCCTATCTCTCGAGTTGGAGTTTTTTCTGTGTCACTTAGTCCTCCTACATATCTGAAACTGCGGCATTTTCCTGTGGTGTGCCCCAGGGTTCTGTCTTGGGTCCTACATTAGTTGCTTCGTATATGTTTCCCTTAGGTCATATTATTAGCAAATTTACAGTTATCTCATATCACCGTTATGCTGATGATATCCAGCTATATGTCTCTTTTAAGCCTGAGGAGACTGACAAACTGACCGTTTGTACAACTGTCTGACTGCCATTAAGGACTGGATGGCAAATAACTCTTTACAGCAAAACACATAAAAAGACTGAGGTCCTTGTTGTGTAATGCTCTTGCTGTTGAAATTCGATCTATGATCTCTGTTGAAGCCTTTAGAAAGCAGTTGAAGACTCACTTATTTAAAAAGGTCTTTGTGTTGACTGCTGCAACAGCATCCTGTACAGCACATCCACCAAAATCATCAACAAACTACAAAACATCCAGAACTCAGCTGCCCGTCTGCTCTCCCACTCCCGCACCAGAGGTCACATCACCCCAGTCCTTCAGAACCTCCACTGGCTCCCATACAGCAAAGAATCCGGTTCAAGACTCTCCTCATCACATACAAAGCCCTTCACAACCTCGCCCCTTCATACCTTTGACCACCTGCACCGTCACACTCCCAACCGCGACCTCAGATCCGCCGATGCCAACCTCCTTACCCTCCCTACTCTGTCCAAGCATCGGACCTGGGGGGACAGGGCCTTCTCCATCGCTGCCCCTCCCTCTGGAACTCCCTCCCCCAGTACCTCATACATTCTCCGTCACTCACCACTTTCAAAAAATCATCTAGTTAAATCTGCTTTTAACCTATAAAGTCAGTCATGTATGTTCTTGTGCTGTTCCTTACTGTTATCTCTTTTGTTTAGATTGTAACTGCTTCTGTTGTTTCTGTTTTTACCATGTAAGGTGCCTTTGAGTACCACTTAAAACGCTATACAAATAAAATGTATTATTATTATTATTATTATATTATCTGCAGCCCAGTGTTTGTAATTTTGTGTATTTCTCTACTAAGAACTGTTTTTTACTGTTTCATGATCCTTTTTGTGCAGAAATCTAACTTTGAGTGATGAGCTTCTTGGCAGCCGACATACCAACCAGAAATATTCTATGTAGCAATTGTAATCCGTCAGTTAGGATGAAAGGTTGGATCCTCAAGGTTCATCTTCCAAAAGGAATGTATTTTTGGGCAGTTCCATATAAGTGTATGAAAGTCCCACATGAAGATTGGGGCTATGTGAGACTGTACAGTAGCTAATCAGAGAAAAGATCAAACTACACCATCTTGTCATTTACAGTAGGCTGCTGTAATGACATATTACATAATGATAATGCTGTCAGTCACTTGTGGCTTTGCTGCACTTTGAGGACTGGAAAATGGCAGGCACCCCAAAACCTCCAGTTGTGTGGACTGGAGCATTAGTTCTGCAGGCTGGATGTTTCAGCCTATCACAGCCCAAGCAGATATATGATGACAACTTGATGCAGTAACCATACTGAGTGCCCCATGAAGTTCATTCAAATAAGTTGAGACTGAGAGAAAGCATCAGGGGGCGGGAGAGAGACGGGTTAGTGGTGTAAGATGTGTGTACTGAGGGAAACAGATCCTGCAGTGAGCCTGCAGCAGTCTGTATGAACAGGACTCAGCATTAACGCTTGTCCACTAGCCTGGGGCGAGTCAACTGTATGTTCAGGCAAGTGCCTTGTGCAAGTGCCTTGTGCAATCGGGCAAGTGAAAGATAAATGTGGGGCCAATATTCAGTAAAATCAGTTTTTGTGCTACTGTATAAATCAGTGGCGGGCCGTGCATTTTATACCTGGGCCTTCACTGCTGTCCTGCAGCTGAAATACCACCTTATAACCACATGATGGCGCCACAGATATTATTCGTTTTTAAGGCTGTAACTATGTACGTCGTCGTATTAAACCGCTCGGTACGAGGCTTACAATACGTTTGAATAATACTAGAGCATTTGGAAAATGCAGAAGCCTAAATTAAGGATAATATAATGTTCTCAGCTGGTCTGGCTGTGGGACCCACCATTATTCATTAATGACAAGCCGCGAGCTACAGAGATCATCTTATGATTTAACTTTCACAACTTAAACATTAGACATACTGCTCTGCAATGTCTTTCCTCGTCTCAGCCCCCTGTGTCATGGTGTGTGGTACATCTCACTCAGTCAGAATGCCCATATTTGATTGGCTGAGCTGCATCACGTGATGTGATTCACTACCCGACATGGCTCTGCTGTTAAGTTTCGTTTCACGATAGTCACGTGCTCGCCCACTGACCAATCACAGGCCAATCACACCAATCACAGGTAAGAAGAGAGGCCTTGGGCCTCTCTTCTTACCTAGAGACACAGAGGTGAACTCTGATTGGATAAAAGCTCTACTTAAAACAAGCTGAACTGGAAGCAGAGCAACTGAGGAAGACAGGAGCTGTGCAATGAGAAAATAAGATAATGGGGAAAATATTTATATAAATTATAATACATGTAGTGTATTTAATAAAATTATTAAATTATAAAATAGCTATAACTTTGTGATTCTGTTTAGGCCAGCAGAGAAGGCTTTGCAGGCCCTGACGGCCCACCACTGGTATAAATATAGTTAGTAGTTTTGTGAGGCTTTTTGTTTATGCTTGCTCTGCCTTGTTTTGAACTGAGCCTCTGTAAAACTTAGATTGCAAACTCCATTCTCTGGTCTGTTCTCTGCACTTGAGTCGTACTCTGATCATCACAATGACGAGTAAGTTTGGCTATCGGGCAAGTTAAACATCTCAGCGACTGAATGTTGAGCCGTGATAATGTGCACTGATATAATACTAACGGTTGTCTGCCATCTGATTGTATCACAGCTGCTGTCAGAACTCTGTGGACTCACACATCTTCATCTGACTCCGTCTCCTTCATCAATCCACCTCTTTGTGCTGAATCAGAAAAGGTTGCCTCCGACAACACTCAGCTCCTATTAGAATAGGTGACCATGGCGACTAAAGTCATGAGAGGATGGAGCGTGGGCGCCACACTGTTGCCATAGCAACCAGGTATCCAGGCGATCGTCACGCTGGTGTGAAGTGTTTGTGCGTCAGATCTGAAGCTGCTGCTACAGCATCATCATCAGGCAGAGCGTCAGATCTGAAGCTGCTACTACAGCATTATCATCAGGCAGAGCGTCTGATCTGAAGCTGCTGCTACAGCATCATCATCAGGCAGAGCGGCTG